AATACAAACATAGGCTAGTAAAACTTCAGTTCCCACATTTAAGAAGATGGCTTTTTCAAAGTATTCAAGTACCTGATTAATATAACATAATAAATAACAATTTCAATAATTTATAGAATTTTTGTTCCTGGGCATATACAGGAAAGATATTTTCCATTTTAACAGACTGGAAAAGGACAAAACATATTCTGTGCTAGCTTTCTTTGAGTTTATTAAGGTAATTAAATTTATTAATTCAGATTAGCTATAATTTTCATTTTAAGATTTCTGTTTACAGCATTTCTACAACTTTCACAAACCCTCTTTCTCATTCTGAAAAAAAAAAAAAAAACAGCTTTAGAAAACTCACTTTCATGTTTTCTTCAAAATGCATCTCTACACTTCATGCTTCCTATTACCAAAACTATAGAATTTATTTCCAATTATTTAGAATTCTTAACTCTTAGAAACCTTAATTTTTAAGTGACAATAGAGTCACATTTTAAAGAGATATAACTATAATAATAAAAGTGTAAGATGCTAATTAGACCAGACAGCTGAACAACCTTTTGAATGTCAGTCCAAATGTCCTTCCTGATGAAGCCATGGCAGCAGGGGCCAAGGCGGAGGCGGTTAGGGTGATTAGTCAGGTATGCGAGCAGTTAAGGGTAATCAAGCAGGCAGGGGAGTGGTTAGGGGTGATGAGGCAGGCAGGCAGAGTAATTAGGGGTGATCAAGCAGACAGGCAAGTGGTTAGGAGCCAGTGGTCTGGGATTGTGAGAAGTTGCAGACCAGGCTTAGGGACACCCCCTCACCCCATGCACGTATTTTGTGCACCTGGCCTCTAGTCTATATATATAAAAGCCCAAGTTACCTTTATGACTGAATGAGCAGAACAACTGGAAGGGCAGGTCATCCAGTCACTATGGCGCACACTGACCACCAGGGGATAGATTCTCAATTTTTAAAGCTGCCCCCTGGTGATGGAGCATCCATAGCCATGCTCCTGAGGTCCCTCCCCATGTCTAGTAAACCTCCTGTGGCCCCTCCACCTGCCAGAACAACCAACCCCTTCTCCTTATCTGCCCCCCTATTGGCTCCAATGGGAGATACAACTGGCTAATCTCCCACAGGCCCTCCTCCCAGCTAACCAACCTCCCATGGCCCCTATTTCCACCCACCCCTGCCAGCCAACCTCTAAGGCACCTCCCCCATTACCCCTACTCAGTCAGATCCCCCTCTCACATTCCCCCACTGCCCCCCCCCCCCATACTGGCTGGCCAACCTCCCATGGCCCCTTTGCTCAGCTGTCCAGCTCTCCTGAAGGGCACCAATTGGGGGGTGCCTGCCAGCCAACCTCCCACAGTCCCTCCCCCAAAGCCAGCCATCCTCCTGCAGTTCCTCCCCCCTGTTGGGTAGCACCCACCAATAAATACTAATCAGGGAGCCAGTGGGCCAACCTCCTAGGGTCCTTCTTTCCAGCCAGCTGGCCCCACAATAGGCCTCAGTTGATGGCCAGGTCTAGTGACCTCACCCATGCACAAATTTGTGCACCGGGTCTCTAGTTTCAAATAAAATACAAGACATATTTATTAACAGATTAAAATCTATCCTCTAGAACCTCTGAAATAAGAAACCAAAAGTAGGCAAACAGAGAGTAATATTTGAAGCATCTTGTTACATCAAAATACCTAGATATTGAATAATTTTTACTGTTTAACCCAGCGGAACTCCAAAGCTTTAAGTTATCAAATACTTTACTTTTTTCTTCACAAAGTGGAGTGGCCCTTCAGTGCCACTTCTGCAGGTTACCCTCTAGGAGAAAAACTTGGGGAGTTTAAAAGGTTTATTTTGCATATGTTTTTTTCCAAATAGAATGTAACATCTTGTGTATTAGAAGAGATCTTATCCAATTTTAAAACAGAAATAAAAACAACCTTAAGGTAAATAAATGACACTTACAAAAGGATGGGCTGGGACATTGGCTTTAGAATTTTATCTTACACTAACCCAGCCCAGCAAATGACCTGTGTTCTAAGTAGCACAAAGCCCAAATAGCAGAGACAGAGGATCTCCTGTTTTCATAAAACGGTGAGGAATGAACTAAGTTCCCAAAAAATAAGAAAGCAAGCAAAGAACATCTGTAACCAAAATTACATGACAGACAGGGAAAACTCTCACAGGCTAAGCATTTGGGGCAGCTGATGCCTTGAGAGGAAGGGCAGGGAGGTACCCAAGATTAAAAACTCTCAGTAGCTGCTGGGAAGTTCCTGCAATCCTTGCCATGGGTTCAGCTGGCCATAAGCAGCTGGAGCCCCTCAACAATGTTTAATATATGCCACATCTTTAAACAAATTAAACCCAACAATAAAGAGCCACAAAACAACATTCAACAGAGACACTCATATAAATATTTATAGGCACACAAAACCTACGGACAAGAGCTTCACAACATTCTCCTTGTTTGCCTTTGCCATAGAAACCTCAGAATGCCCTGCATTTAAAAGAAAACATTGAAGCAGAGCAATGTCTCTTGTCCCAAAGCGGGTCAGGCTATGTCCTTGGACATTAGGCAAGGACCATTGGAGGTTTCTTGCCACCTGGAGCTGATCAAGCTCCACAAGAAAAAGGCATTAAGGAGAAATTCAGAACTAAGCCCCAGGAACCCCCAGTCTGGGCAGCAAGTAGGAAAGCTGCTGGTCCCTACCTGAGTAACCAGATTTTGATATCAGACAAATAATGGGTCCAGGTTGTCTTTCCTTACTTGAGCCAATTAAGCAGAGGTATGGTTGAATCATATGTGTATTTATTCCACTAATGCTGGCAGTGACCATGTCCCTTCCAGCCACTGCCTCACTCCTAGCTCTGATGGAGAGCAGAGGAACTTCCCAAGTCACCCAGACCTTACTGGCCATCCTCCAACCTGCCTTTGCCCAGTCCCTTGCCCCATCAATTGGCAGGGAACAGACTTAGAGAGTATTAAATGGTGCTTTGTGGCAGAGTTTTATAAATGGCATATTTATACAATCTGATCTCCCATTAACTCCTTTACTCTAATTAAAAATAGGTTATTGCAACAGCATCAGTATGAGGCACTCCATAAAAATTACAGTTGCATCATCAAAGATAATTATGTAATACTAGAAGCCTAATGCACAAAGATTCATGCTAGAATGGGCTTTTCTTCCCAGGTTGCTGGCACTGCCTTTCCACTCCAGCCCAGACCCTTTCCGCTTAAGCCTTTCGGCTCCAGCCCCACCTTCCCATGCTGCCCAGAGGCCCTGAGAGACTAGAGGTGGGGCATTCTGCCCCAGTCACTTGATGCCTGTGTATACAAATTAACCAACATCTTTGTTGTTAATTTGCATATCACTCTTGATTGGTTGGTGGTGTAATGGAGGTATGGTCAATTTACATGTTTGTCTATTATTAGGTAAGATAATCATCACAACTGTAATACTAATGAAAATGTTTGAAATATTGTGAATTCCAAAATGGATCTCAGATATGCAACAGGAGCAAATGCTATTGGAAAGAGAACCCTAATTACTTGTTGATATAGGGTTGTGAAAAAATGTTTATTTAGTGAAAAATACAGTATTTGCAAAGAAAAATGAAGGTATGATTAACATATTTCATTAAATACATAGTATCAACCACAAGAGAAAATTTTATATAAAAAGAAACAAATGCACATTCTGGTGTTGAAAGGTATAATAAATCAAATTAAGTGTGTGAACCTTGAAGAAAAAGGTACCTAGAGTTCAGTATTACATGGAGAAATTTTTTTATCAACACCTTTCTTTAATTCGGTGAATCTTTCCATAAGTACAGGTATACCTTGGATATATTTTGGGTTTGGTTCCAGAGCATTGCTATAGAGTGACTATCAAGATGATGATGATGATGATGATGATGAAGAAGAAGAAGAATTATTTTTTTATTTTCAAAAATGTAAAAAAAAGTGATAATTATACTATATGTTAATATACCATGGTTATATTCATAGGCTCAATCATTTTACTGAAACAGAGCTTCCAGTCTATGATATCTACACTATGGCAAGTTTTCATCTCAATTCCATTTGCAATTGAATTATAATAATAATTATTATTATCATTATAAATGCTCAAAAAACTTTACTCAATAAGTGATGCAGAGTACCATATAATTACTTTTTTCTGCAAGATGTATTTTTTAAACTAAATTTCATTATAGTTTTCCTGTCATTGGGCCTAGAGAATTGTTTCCAAATCCAGCAAAAGGTGAAAATCACCTAAAAACACAAATATATAGGGACTCAATACCAATGCTCACAATATTGCAAATTGCCAGCTTACTTTTCACAGCCTACAAAGTTGTAAGACTTGAGAATATTTTAGCTTTACTTCTGTCCACAAATTGCCTGTTATTCTTTCCCAAAACTAGCCAATGCTTTAACAGTTTCACACTTACAGAATGAAAAAGAGAGTGAAGACATGGATAAGTTGATGGACAAGTCTAAGAATTTCTGCCTCAGAGGAAGGTTCTGTGACTAGGATGACCATTGTTTGCAACCTGACCTGGAGAAAGGGTTTGGACCCACCAAACTAGGTTTATCCTTGCAATAGAAATGTGTGTTTTTTTAAATGAAATATAATAAGCTTTACAATAAGCTTTCTAAGATAATGGAAATTTGAAAACAGTGTGTGAGTTCTGAGAGAAGACCCATTAGGGAAGTTTGAGACATCAGTTTGTGATTGAATTTTGTCATTAGTTGGATATGACACCTTGGTGAAATCAGTGAACATGTATAAGTCTCAGTGCATTGAGAGTCATGTGATAGCTAATGTCTGTAATGATCTTAAGGCATTTATTTCAGAAACACAAATACTTCAGTACAACCCATTTCCAGTGATTAAAATTTTAATAAGGGGAGCACTTGTCACAAACACACATATATGGAAACCAATGCACACACAAACACACACATATGTTAATATTTGCCTTTCAAACTCATTTAAAACTGCTTATTTCTATAGAGACTGATGCAGAATACTTACCAGGTGCTCTCGGAAGAGGTAAAATGAAGGGGGAAGCCAGGAAACAATCAATGCAATATGCTGGTAAGAATAAAAATATTTCCAGTCTATTTATGGTTTATTTATCTTCTCAAAAGTTTAAGTTTACACTTTAAACCACAGTAACTAAATGTTATTTGACATAATTAACTACATAATTTCTTCCTATAATTATTAGAGCTCTAGCAGTTATCATTTAGTGGGTATTTGGATACATAATTTCTGTTTTAAGAGTCATCTCCTTAAAGTCATCCACGAAAATCCGATACTATTGTGAGTTAGGAGTATACTTGACTGAAGCCTTTAAAATGCCATGTTACTCACTTTCTCTTTCAGACCCAGGTCATTAGTTACTTTGTATTTGCAAATGTATAAAAGCTACCTTAAAAAAAGAATTAGAAGAGGAATTTAGAAAATAAATAATTGCATTGTTTATTAACAATTTCCTCCATGTAATTACAATACCAGGATAATTTCTAATATCTCAAGCGATGGTATAACTTATATTTTTTCCTTTTTAATGTAGTTTAGGTTATAAATTATTACTTATTGTTCTGGCAGATCAGTGACTAACACAAAGTCACCAATTTTGACATGGTAGCAAAGGAAGTAGGCAGGTTAAGGGAGCAATCAGGGAAGGAGATACTGATAGAAATGCTTTCAAAACACGAGTCATCCAAAGTTGATGGTGCTCAGAGCCCAAGTTCATGCCTTCATAGGAATAGCACTAGATGTTTCATGCTGCAGGGAAGGACTCTTCGGTAAAATATGAAATAGCACAGCCTCATCACTCAGTACATGACCAGGCACAAGATGACAAGCTTCCAAATGCATTGAGTACCCAAATTTGCTACAATACATTGCCTAAAAGGCGCAGATTTTACCAGAAAATATATGAAACATGTAAAGGAACAGCAAGTGTGGAAAGCAGACCAGAACAAATCTTTGTGTCTGCCAGTTGTAGATTTTCCTATAATTTATAAATATTTTAATTTAGAGGCCCAGTGCATCAATGCAATTTATCCCTTACACAGTTCTAACTTTCTTTTATACATTTCATGCTTTTTTATGTCCCTGAAAAAACTTAATAGTTTAATTACAGGAAAAAATTTAAATCATATGAAAACTCCAGTGGAGATGGATCCAACCAGTACACTGGTATTGCTGCTGCAAACTTAACCAATTCCTTCTTGCATGTCACAAGATCTCCATGCCAAAGGATCATCAGGAGGCATTTTTTTCAGTCCAAACAATGCCTTTTTATTCTTAAAATCACTGATATATGTGATTAAATACAGAACCTAAAGGGAAATTAAAATTTTCCCTGGTGAGTAAAAGTATTTCTGCTCATGGTAGGTTTATGTGACTACACAGTCTATGGTTTGCAACTTGACCTGTAGTGAATAAATGAAAAGTAAACAAACAAATGGTGATGTTCTAATTGATGAGTTATATCCCTAAAGAAAGGGTGTGAATTTAATACAAGCCTGGAAGTAATTTTATTATCATAACTTCTCTTGGATGGTTTCAATTTGCATAAGAGAGAATGAGTATGGAATAAGCACTATTTAAGGAATTATGTGGCATAGATCTTAAAATGTATATCAATTTTGCCATTATCTGGATATTTGGTTTTAGAGACGTTAGTAGAAGTGTCTGATTATCAACATAATATGGCTTTATATCATTATTCCATCTGTTCCAATTTAAGTTTCTCTGAATCTGCAATCCATATCATTCAATATAATGTTTTTCAGTACAATAAAACATGCTATTTACAACCCTCATACAAACATGCTGGAAGCATATATATGCCTATATAAATTATTTATACGTAAATGATGATATAATGGGTCTGAAGTCAGTTTGTTTCTGTAGGAGCTAAGGCAGAACGCTCAAAAGATGCAATTGCACATGACATAATTAAGGGACAACTCCAGAAACAATCAATGGAACCCCATGGTAAGAAGAATTTAAACTATAATACAGTTTATAATACAAAATTACGTTGATATTCAGACTTTTACTGACCTCTCCAAAATCAAATATACAGATAATGGCAAAATTGATATACATTTTAAGAGTTATGCCACATAATTCCTAGGGCTGCTGTGACATCTGTAGAGCTGGTGTGAGCCAGGTTTCTGGCTCAGTGATGCTCTCCCTGTGGTGGGAGTGCACTGACCACCAGGGAGAAACTCCTGCATTGAGCGCCTGCGCCCTGATTGTCAGAGTGTTTCATAGACCTGTCATTTTGCTGCTTAGTCAATTAGTGCACATGGAAACATAATTAATTAGAGGAAATATTTTAATATTTCAAAACCTGCTGGAGCACCTAGGCTGGCCAAAGCCTTCTCCTCTCCAATTTTTCTCATTTGCTGAATAGGGAAATTATTATATGCAGAGAACCCAGAGTGCTGTGAGAAAATAATCAGGCTTGATGAAACACCCAGCTTAGCTCTTGGGCACAGATATGGTAAATGATCAATAAATGTTGGGTGCCTTCAATTTTGAGTTTTTAAAAATTGTAAATTCTTGCTCTGTCTGGTTTGGTTCAGTGGATAGAGAGCACCTGCCTACTGACCGGTCAGAGGCTCAATTCTGAGTCAAGGGCATGTACTTCAGTTGCAGATTTCCCAGTGTGATAAGGGTGCAGTGGGGAGGCAACCAATTGATGTGACACATTGATGTTTCTCTCTTTCTCCCCTGCCTCCCTCACTTCCACTTTCTGGAAATCATTAGGAAATATTATTATATATTATATATATAATCTCCTCAGGTGAGGATTTTTTTAAAATTGTAAATTCTTAAATTTTAAAGGTAAATTCTTTTCAATGTAAATTCCTGAAGGACCACTGATGTCTCAGGATAAAAGGGTCCAATTGCTATATTGCCTGACAAAATTGGGTCATATCCACTTTACAGAATGTAGATTTTTGTCTCCAGTGGGTGTGAAAAACTTATTCCTGGGATTAAAAGATGACAGAATCCTTTCCACTATTAACAAATCAGCCCCTGATTTCAGAGCCTGGTGGGTATTACTAAAGTGGGATCTTTATAGGAAATGCTTAGACTCTGGTACCTTGGTCACTCCCAGCACCAGGACCACAGGGAGGCATTGCCTCCATCTCTGGTGGCCTAACCAAGTTTTAGCCTGTTCCTTCCCCCTCCTATCCCTAGTTCTTCCACCCCTCCGGATTCACTCAGCCCTAGGCCTTTCGCAACACCCTCTCCATTTGCTCCATGACACACCCCTCCCTCATATCTGCAATGCAGCTCCTGCAGTCAATCCTCCCTTGAACCCCTCCAACATCTCTTCCTTCCTCCCCCACACCCTGCCCTGTTAGGGTTGCCAGATAAAACACTGTGTGCCCAGTTGGATTTGAATTTCAGAAAAATATAATCAATCTTTTAAAAGAAGTGTGGCCTGTGCAATATATAGGACATACTTATACTAAAAAAACTTATTGGTTGCTTATCCAAAATTCAATCTGGGATTCTTGTATTTTTATTTGCTAAATCTGGCACCCTACTCCAACTCCCACCTTGCACCCCTCCATGCCCCCAATTCACCTATTTCTATTGAGTGTCCATCTCCCACCGGTGTCCTGGCCAGTGCACCTCTTCTGTGAATCCCCCCCCCCCCCCCACCCATTCAAGCCCTCTCCAAGTCCAGAACATAGTCTTTGCACTTCCTTCTCTGGAATGCTCCTCAACTCTCCAAGCATCCCTCCCCATTTCGCCCCGAGACTCATGCGCCCTGATTCATGCCTTGCACAACTTTCTTCATGTGCACCTTCAGGCCCAGAAACCTACGTGAACAGCATCCTTACTTCCCCTGCTGCAGCCCCAAACCCCGCTCTCCAATGCACCTAGCACTCCCCGGTGCACCTGGGCAGGCCTGCGAGTAGTCCATGCAGCAGTCCTGTGCCTTGGCACACACCTGGTCGCAGAAACAGCACAGGGGCCTGCTTGCTGCCCAGGTTGGTTCACAGCCAGGGCAGCAGTGGCCCAGTGAAGAGCAGCCCTGACCTGGCGGGCCTCTCACCCAGAACACTATGGCCACTGTGTGTCTGGCGGGCCTCTCACCCAGAACACTATGGCCACTGTGGCTAGGGAGAGTGGCAGGGGCAGGATTCAATCTGCTTCATGAGGGGCCATCACTGAGCTCAGACTGGGAAGCAGAGGTTGAGGATGACTGTCCCTAGAATTCTGCCCCATATTGGGGCAGAGGCTCCCTGCCCAACCCCTCCCCTACCTGTCATAGAACTGATATCTACCTCCATTCCTCCCACCAAAACTTTGCACAGCTAGTGAAGGTGAAATATCAAAATAATGGTGAGAATCATTGCAACAAATTTTCAGGTTCCCCTAGGTTCCAGGGAAATTGAGGTGACTGGAGGACTCCGGTAGGGTGGCCACTCACACTGCTGCTCTCAGCAGTCCCCCTGGGACTGGAGGACTGCAGTGGGGCTGAGAGGACTGGGCACCACCATCTTGTGGCTATGGTTGCCACCATCTTTGTGATGGAGTGGAGGTTAATTAGCATATTACCGTTTTATTATATAGGATAGGATATTTCAGGTTTATTTATCTTCTTTTGAGTCACATGAAATTTTGGGTTTCAAAGAGTGAACAATAGTGATGATTACACTATAATGTAGTCTACCCTGTGTGAAATAGTATTCTATCTACAAAAGAAAATAATACATATGTTTAATTAAAAATACTGTTAGTAATCATCTGAGTCTTCAGTGAGTTGTAATCCCATTGCTGATGGAGGGTCTTACCCCAATGTTGATGGTGCTCTTGGATCAGACTGGTGATTGCCAAAGGCCGGGGTAGCTGTGCTATTTCTTAAAAAAAGACAACAAGGAAGATTCAATTAAGGAATTATGAGACTTCAGTTTGTAATTGAATTTTTGTCATTAACTGGTTATGTCACCTTGGTCAAAACACTGAACATGTATAAGCCTCAGTTCAATTAGACTTAGGTGATGGCTAATGGATCTAACAATTTTAAGATGTTTATTTCAGAAATACAG